TATACACCAGAACTGGTTCATTAAGCACTATAGTGTCCCTTTAAATATAATACAAACCTTTGTGCTAGAATAATCAGCATGGGTCCTCATATAAATGGATGCTCATTGAGAGTTGACATGCATTAATTTGAATTAATAAACCTTCCAAATTGTGGACTGCATAGAACTTTAATTAAAGAACAACTCCAGCTTCCATTAACTGTTCTGCTTTAAGAAGTTGTCATGGAGTAAGCAATCGGTTTGAAACACCTCACAAACGGAGACATTTCACTTGTTCACTTGCTACTTACACACGTGACTTAGTAGGCTGTAAATTCTAGGCAAAAATGACATCTGTTGTTGGCAAGTTCTGTGTGTTGGCGACAGACATAGTCAGCTTCTACCATTACAGGCAGAGCTGTGAGCACACCTGAAAGGGGATGCTTGTACGTCCCCTCCCTCCTTCAATTCATGCTGAAATATCAATAATTAAAAAATGTTTTTGTTTTCTAGAATTCCTACCTAAGTCCACCCCACACTCCCTCCCTTCCTTGGCTCAGAGAATATGCATGTTCTCTGAGATCGGTCCAATCAAATGCTTCGCTATGCTAGGCCAATAAATAAATACCAGATAGAGCACTCGGGGTGTTTTATTCTAAAACAATAAAGATTTAAACATAGTAATCACATTCACGTTGCAATGCATATTTCTTTCTAAAGATAGAGATGTGTACTCATCATTCACTACAACCTGTGTAATATTCATTAAAAAGTAATTGGAGGTGATTTGACAGATAAGTTGCATAAACATGGGCAGGGATGGTAGATAACTTGTTATCTCAAATAAAATGAAAAATGAATCAACTAAACCTAAAATGTTTAGTAAATTAACCCTTATAACACCTAAGGCCTGTAGTTATTTCTATGAAGGATTATTTAAGTAAGCAACAAAAAATTGAAAATTGTAAAGTTTAGACAAAAAGTGATGATTGAGAAAAAAAATATACATAAAAAACAGCTATAGTCACAACTTGGCTATTTTGCCATTCAATTTTCACTACTTACTACAGTTTGGTGTTTAGTGAATAAGCCCAGTGAGTTTTAGTAGGTTATCTGTCACTAAGATGAACTTAGACTGTTGTTCTTGCTTGGTCCTGTGTCCCCTTAATCGGGTGCAGAGCACTGTCCCTCAGTGCATGGAGTCATCATTAAGTGAGCACCAGGACCGCAAGGAAGCTCTTAAAAAGGTGTAGACCGCAATGACACCCATCAGACCACCAGGGATCCACCATACCTTCCACAGGGCCAACAAGAAAAGGTAAGCAGGAGGGTAAAGAAGTTTAAGCATGCGTGGGATAGGCATAAGGCTATCCTAACTATAAGATAAGGCCAGGGACTAATGAAAGTATTTAGAAAATTGGGCAGACTAGATGGGCCGAATGGTTCTTATCTGCCGTCACATTCTATGTTTCTGTGTTTCTATGTCTGAAAACATACACAACACTCATCTACACTCATCCTCCCCTACACACATATAGAAAACACATAACAACCATACACAGCACTCATCCAGCACCCACAGGC